AGTTGCTTTAATTTGTCTTTCTCTAATTATTAGTAATTTGGAACATTTTTTTGTGTGACTATGCTAACTTTTTTTTCCCTTGAGAGCTTCTTGTTCATATCCTTATTGATTGGGGCATGATGCTCCTTTTTGAAAAATTCTAATCAGTTTTTCAGATATCTTGGAAATGATACTTTTATCAAAGAAACTTGTAATTTTTTTTCCTCACTTAACTGATTGTCTTCTAACTTTAGCTATATTGGATTAGTTTGTATAAAAACATTAATTTTATGTACTTAAAAACTTCCATTTTATCTTCTTTGGTATTGTCTCTCACTTGTTTAGTCATGAACTTTCTTCCTATCCATAAATCTGAAAGATAATTTCTTCTTTGTTCCTCCAATTTTTTTTATAACATGACAATTTATGTCTGGTTCAGGTTATTTGGAGCTTATCTTAATATAAGATATGAGGTATTGGTCTGAATCCCATTTCTGCCATACTGCTGTCCAGTTTTCCCAGGAATTTTGATCAGATAATGAGTTCTTACCCCAGTAGCTGGAATCTTTGGGTTTTACAAATACTAAACTTATTCTTAAAAATAATTCAAGTGTTCAGTCTCTTGGACTGAAAATTTTTAATAGCTTAGACTCTTTTTGTTTCATTTCTACATGTTATATGCCTGGTAATTACCTTTTTCCTTTCCACTTATTATTCCTGCAATAATAATATAATGCTACAATTATGAATCCCTCAGATAACATTGATTGGTTCAGTAGCTATTAAAACAATAATTAGTATGTAGGACTATTGCCTTTTCTTTTTAAAACAAAGCAATATTGTTTTAATGATTCGAACCTAGTAACATTATTCATGTTGTTATGAGTCAACAGCAGGGAAATGAAATTCTGAAAAAAAAAGACTATTCTTAACATTTAATGTAAACTCAAACAATTAAGTCCACGTTTGAAAGTGATGGAGTGAGTCACCTTCCTGTTCATCCCGTGGTGTAAATTCAAGCTCAGCTAGGATTAGAGTTGGATAAAGATAAACTTCTCTTGATTACTATTTAACTGCTGTTTTCCATAAGGTAACCTACAACATGATATGTTTGGCTCCAATTATCAGGGTAGAAATTGCTTATGCAAATCAATGCAAGGCAATGAGGTGTGGAGAGGATATCATTATTATTGGTTGGTGCTCATGAAATTCTGATGACCTGAAGTTAATGACAGCCAAACCACGACAGGGATTATTAACAATGAAAATGTGCAGTTACCTGTGTTAGAATAGAAGGATCTTATGTTAACATGGGCTCCATTGATGACATGGAAGCTACAGGCCCCTATTCATATTATAAACATACACACATATGTATTTTCACATACCTACACATATATACACTCAAATATATTTACACATGAATATGTATGGGTGTTGTGTACTTTGTCATGGCCAGTGGGTTTTCAAATTTGTAATGATATATTGGACATATAAATGAGAAAGCAAACCATCTGTCTGAGGTACACAGTAGGAAGCAGCATAGTGTTCTGGAAAAGAATGCTAGATTATGAGTTAAAGGACCTTTATTGAAATCCCAACTCTGCTGCTTTCTCTGTGTATGACTTTGGGCAAGTCACTTAACCTCTCAGAGCCTCTGTTCTGGGAAATGAGGGGGTTAGATAATCTACGAGATATGTTCCTATCTCTATCTATCTCTATCTCTATCTATATATAAATATATATATTAATTCCTGTAGGTTTTTTTTTCAATGTTTAACCTAATTAGTGGCCCTCTATGACATGTGTGGGAGAGGTGGGAAGGAACAAGCATTTATTTAGTGCCTATTGTGTGTCAGGCATTGTGCTATGAACTTTTATATATATATGTTCTCATTTTATCCTCACAACAAGCCTGCCATGTAGGTGCTCCTGTTATTCCCATTTTGGGAAACTGAGGCAAAAGAGGTGAAGTAACTTGCCTAGGGTCACACAGCTAGTAAACAGACTGTATTTGAACTCAGTTCTTCCTGACTTCTAGCCCAGCACTCTATCCAGAGCTTCAACTAGTGAAGGAAATTACCGTTAAGAGATATAGGAACTGGACCTGTTCTTTCACTAGTATATGGAATTACCAGGTGAAGAAACATCTTTTACCAGTTCCCATGAGTCTACAGTTTTAGAGAGTGTAACCTGCCCAGGGTCACAAACTCACTATGTGTCAGAGGTGGTACTTGAACCAGGGTCATCCTAACTTTAAAGCCATTTTTCTATCCACTTCCACTATTCCATACCAGCTCTGCTTAGTGATTGTATATTTAACCTTCAAGTATATAATAACGTTATGTGAAATAGTATTTGTTGCCATCAGTATTACTTAACAATTCAGAATAGTTCACTGTCATCACTATAATGAGTACCATCCATTGCCATGTTCTAGGTTATTTCCTTAAAAAAAAAAAGTGCACATTCATTTCAAGTTTTATTTTTAGGAGAGTTTGATTTAATCAAGAAATGACTATAGAGTTAAAATTAATTAGTGCATTTGGAAGGAAAGATTAAATTTAAATTAATGGAAATAATCTCTCTGGATTTGATAATCAAGGATTCTGATCTCCACTATGAAAAAAAAATGTTAAATTTGTGTCTTTTTCTTAAAGAGTTAGCAGTTACCTGTGAATTTAGGCTCTCCTCTTCCTTCCCCTTCCTTCCTTCCCCTCCCTCCTCTTCCCTTCTCTCCTTCCGTTTCTTCCTTTCCCCTCCCCATCTCTGCCAAAGGGGGCCATGACAGAACACAAGTATAAAACCCCTACTATAAGCGAATGCTCCATGAACCCATTATTTCTTAAGCTCTGATTATGTAAATGGCGAAATAAAGATCAGTAGAAGGAAAGTGGATTAATAAATAATTCAGGAAAAACAGTTAAATGCAACTTTTGGCTTCTGTGTTAAATTCTTTTCATGTGTTATTTCTATATTCTAAATAGACACTCGAATCCTTTCTATGGTATTGTCTTTTTCCCCACAATGTTATTTTTCTGACATTGCTCAGCCAAGACACGGGCAGTTGCCCAAGTCAGCATTGGGAGTTGGTTTCTCCAGCCTGTGATGAAATGAGAGCTGCTCCTTGTGGTGCTGGGAATGATTGACAAAGACTGAATCTGTCCCCTGTGCTAGAGTTTGTACAACAGAAAATGTACTTAGCAAATTTGAAATTTGCTAGAAATATCCCGTGCTACACAAATCCCCACTAAGAAGAAATTCCTCCAGTTTCATGTAAATGAGGACTTTGTCTACTGCCACTGGGTAGAGGGAGATGGTGAACATTCCCAAGGAAGCAGAGACCTCTGATTTACAATCAAATATACTATTTCCAATTTCCTTCTTCCCTTTGAAGTCAGAAAATTGTGTATCCAATAGCCATAACTAAACGCCAAAGTCATAATGATAGAAATGGTGGCTCTGCAGAAAGGGAGTGGTGAGAGATGGTACTGATATTGCAGAGTGTAGGCTTAATGGTTAAAAATGAGGGCTGGGAGGTCCCAGCCCTAAACTGGGGCTGCATATAAAACAACCTCAGCACTGAGTTTCTTTATTGGATATTAGTTTGTAGGCCAGAGCTCTGGGAGGAAATACACATCATTTTTATAATAGGCAGCCTGTTCTCTGTAGAAAGGCTCGGAGACTTCAAAGCCAATGTAGAGATGGTACTCACACCTTTGGGAAAGTCCCCCCCCCTTCCAGTTCCCCCTCCAGTTCTTTGGTGGCTGAAAGCAGAGCAGTGGAGAATCAGTCATAAAATCTAGAGCTGAATAAACTTCCAACCAGGTCACAGCTGGACAAAACCTGTGACCCATGGATTCTAATAGTAAACCAAACATACACACACACACACACACACACACAGTGAGAAAGACATGCTATTTCGTCTTAGCTTCCCCATTTCCTGGGGATATAGATATCTGTTAATGTCTCATAAAGAAAAATGTTTTAACATAGTGCAGTTGATTGAGTTCTCTCTTCTCCTTTCTACTAAGGAAAATACTTTTCTCTGAGGCTTCAAGATGAGAGGCAGATGGGCTCTTTATTTCTCCCTTAAGGATTTCAGAGCAGATGCAGTTTTCTACAGAGCCAACAGGTCCCTTACATCAGCTATAGGTTGACCCACTGCAATAAAGGAAGAGATTTCACTAGGGATTTTTTCTTTTAGAAATTAGTCAATAGACATTTATTAGGTGCCTACTATGTGCCAGGCACTGCACTAAACTCTGGTAAATTAAAATTAAATTCCCTTTAATTCCAGAAGCATTTATGAGGTACCTGTCATGTGCCAGGCACTCTATTAGGTGTTAAGGATGTGAAGAAAAACAAAACAAAAGGAAAAACAAAATCTAAGAAATCCCTGGCCCTTAAGTAGTTTACATTCTATTGGGGGAAGTAGAGGGATGATTGCATGTATACAGATGATTAAATACAACAAGCTAATTTCTGACAGAAAGGTATTAGCAACTTGGAGTTTTAGGATAGCTGGGCACAGTGCCTGGAATGTAATAAAGTGCATATTCCATGTGTTTTGGTAAGTTTCCTGTAGGAGCTGGCCCTTGGTTTGGGCTTTGAAGGAAACTAGGGAGTCTGTGAATTAGATGTGAGGAAGGAATGCATACCAGCAACAGGGGACAACTTGTACAAAGGGAGAAAAATGACAGATAAAATGTGGTATGTGGAGAATAGTAAGCAGGCTAATGTGTCTAGAAGGAATTATGGTCTTCCTTGCCCACATTTTTTTAAACAATTAGTATCATTTGATGAATTAATTTAAACCATGGTATAGGTGAATCTCAGTAACATTTTAATTGGTAATTTTAATCTCTTTAGAAAGTATCATTAGTATCTCAGTGTCTCCCTCTTTGTATTAATGCAATTCCTACAAATGGTGATAGTTAATCAAATTATGAGTTTCAGTTTTTGAGTCAGTAATTATTTGGACTGTGAATTGTAATTACTGATTTATATTCCTTTAGGATTATTTAACCATTCATAAATATGGCAATGCAGCCAGAAATGATCTGTGGAATACACTGTCAGAGGTAAAGTATATTTTGCTTATGGGGTACCAAACCTTCCCTTTGTATTCTTGTGTGTGTGTGTGTGTGTGTGTGTGTGTGTGTGATGTTAAGGAGACACTCTGCTATATAATTGTAATTGGACTGCTAGTGTCCTTTACCATTTCTGCTTCCTTTTTCCTCAGGCTGACTTTATTGTTTATTTACTATGTAAATGACCTTTGGCCAGGACACTTAATGCCACCCATGCCCTCTGTACTCAAAATATCACAGTAATATAGTTACCTTTCCCATCAAGGTGACCATATTTCCATTGAAATGGGATTTTGGTATAGAAGTACCTGTCATATTAAAGGCAGAACTGTTGGAAGTTTCAAAATCAGACACAGTCCTATATGTGAGTAGCAAATGTTTCATGCTCTATTAGACAAACTGAAGTTACTTAACAGTGAAACTCTAGGTCCTCCTTGCTCCAACAATAAAATTTCTGTTTTATCTTCCATTACATTAAAACATTAATGTTCACAAAGTCATTTTATGCCTGAGATGGGCAGAAAGCCTTCCCTTAGGTTAAAGGAAATTAATTTTACTCGTCCATGTTGGCATCACTGATTATGAATTTAAAATGTACTTTGTAGAGGTAAACATTTGACAATGGCTAATTGTTAATATTGCTTTAATAAATTAGCTTTTTAAATGTTGGTTTTTATAGGCTTTAAGAAAGAATGGAAAATATGTAAATATTCAAGAAGTAATGGATCAATGGACTCTCCAGATGGGTTATCCTGTCATCACCATCTTGGGAAATGGAACAATTCACAATATGATAGCCATTACCCAGCAACATTTTATTTATGACAGCAGGGCTAGAGTCAAGACCACTGAGTTTGGAAACAACAGGTATTAAGTCTTTTTGAAAGAATTGAACATTGCAAAAGTTGAATCTGTGTCTTGCTTTGTTTTTTACTTGTCTTTTAACATGACTGTTGAAGATGATTCTTTTAGAAGATCTTATCACTGGAATTACAACTTTGTATAGTTTCATTTCCGTATGTATATAATGATTTCATTTTTAGTTTCATTTAGCTTTGTTTCTCAGTTCAGTTGGCCATCTGACCAATGAATAGTGGACTCACATCATCATATTCCAGAGCCAGCAATTCAGGATATAAGTGACTTTTCAAATATAAAATTAACATTTGTAAAGTGCTTTATGAACCTTAATGTACTATGTAAATGCTTATTATTATTATTTACAGTAGCACAAAATTTAGTGTTTCCTGGATGCAAATAAGTTTGCTGAACTACTTAGAAATCATACCACAAATTACAAAGGTGAAGGGGAAAAGACCTTTAGAATTGAACCTCGAACAAATCACATTGAACAAAAAAAGATTTCCTTTCTAATTATATCAAACTACTTTCAAAATGACATCAGTAATATAAGTGCTTCATATTGAATGATGGTATTTTTCTCTACTTTTGTTTTTAATGGAAATTGAATTTACAATAATTTGGTGATACACTTAAATGATTTTACTTTGAAAGTCAACTAAGTGGCACAGTGCTTAGAGTACTAGGCCTGGAGTCAAGAAGACCTGAGTTCAGATCTAGCCCCAGATGCTTAACTACCTTTATGAATCTGGGCAAGTCACTTAACATCTGTCTACCTCAGTTTCCTCAGCTGTAAAGTAAGGATAATAATAGCACTACCTCCCTGGGTTGTTGTGAGGATAAAATGAGATATCTGTGAAGTGTTTAGCATAGTGTCTGACATGTAGTAAACTCTTAATAAATGCTTGTTCCTTTCCCTTACCTCCTTTTAAAATGTGAAACTCTGGATTATTTGAGGATTTATTATTTAGGTTGTAGGTAGTCCTGCTGTTTAATTCTCCTCTTTACCCCTTATGCCATTTTGTCCAGTGACAATTTTAAAAGTCAATATTTGAAAGGAAAGATAAGTTAATGCCCAGATCACTCAATTCTGCTACTTCTAAATAGCCCTGGCAAACAGGTTTGACAAGAAAAATGATTGAAATTTAGGTATAAAATAAAGTGCTTATATTAGATTATCCATCCCTTTTTCTTTGAAAATTAAGAGTTATCAGTACCTTGGAGACTTGGAGTACGCATTAAATGTAATTTATTTTCTATAAAAAAAATGAAAATCATTCTCAGTCAGCTAGCTCCAAGATTGGCTGTATAAGGACAAGCAATCAAGAGATTCATGGTTGTTTTTTTTTGCATCTGAATTTGGAAGAAGGCTTAGAAAAGAAACAGGTCTTAAATCATTGCCCAAATAGATCAGACTTCAACAAGTTGTTCACAGGAAGCAAAGTGTACAGATTAGACATGCTTCTGTACAAGGTTTTCTGAATGCTTTTACTGTGAGTCTGCCAGGCAGATCCTTCTATCCACTCTCATCTGTAGTTCTCAGGGCCACGGTTCTTGGAGATCAGTCTCTACACTAAAGGAAAACGGTTCTCTTGCTGAGGCAAAAGTTTAGTTCAGTACCAAAGAATTTCTGGCCAGCAATCCTCTATGTAGAGATACGTCATTCAGAATCTCTGCCTGCCTTCTGACTAATATTACCCTGATTGTCCCTCTCTCTCCCTGAACTGTTGCCAGCTCTGATCTTTGATACCTGCCTAATCCTTCAATCTTGTCTGACTGCCTGCACTCCTTATTATTTACCCTGATCATTGTTATTACTATGTAGCCTGAACTGAGGCTTAAAAATGCAGTCCTTTCCTTTTGACCTTCTTTTCCTGGATGTCCCTTCTCTGGACTACTTGCCTATTTCCACAGCCCAGATTTGCTTTGTGAGAATCATCTTAAGGAGTAGGAATGCAACTTCTGGGTCACATTTGATCAAGTGTTTTGAGATCTCTTGGATAATATTGTCAGCAATATTATCCTGTACATCACGCAAAAGCTCTTAGGGTATAAAATTAGACAAAGCTTGCAGTTACTGTCTATTGTAATTATTTTTTGTTCTGGCAAACTTTACCCAAATATAATGAATAAAACAATCCTTACTCTCAAGAAACTTATTTCTAATGAAAGAGACAACATGTCCACATATATAAGCATACAGAGAATAAATATAAACAAATACAAAGTATTTAAATGTAAGGTAATTATGAGGGAGGAAACTAGCACTTGAAAGGACCAGGAAGGACTACATGTAGAAGAAAATGTTTCCATGTGCTTGCTTACCCATTCCCCCATCTCTGGAATAGACTTTTCACCGTTTTCCAGACATTGAAGTCCTTCAAGACCTGACTCAGATGATGTCTCTTTCAAGAAGTCTTTCAATTGTTAAGTCAATGAGCATTTATTAAGCCCTTCCTGTGTGCCAGGTTCTGTGTTAAGCATGGTGCAAAGAAAGGTAGGTATGCTTTATCTGTCCTCAAAGAGCTTACATTCCAATGAGGGAGTCAATGTGCAAACAACTAAACATACAAATCTCAAAGGGAAGGCACTGCAGTGGGAGTATTAGGGTGGAGATTGGAGGGGGGCAGAGAGAAAGGCTTCTTGCAGAAAATAGATTTGATCTGAGGATTTAAGGAAACCAAGGAAGCTGCAAGGCAGAGAGGAGGACAGCCAGTGAAAAGCCATGGCATTGGAGGACGGCATGCCCACGTGCTTATGTTTCATGTTCTACTGCTCCAGCTGGAAGTTACCTCTATGGAAAATTTTCAATCTGTCTTTTGTAATTATCTTGCAGTCTTTTGTATCATTATTCTGTGAATTCATCTTTATTATCTTCCTTTCCTTCAGGAGATCTTTGAAGGCAGGTACTGTGTTGAATCTGTGCATAAATGGTGTTCCATCTTTGTTGAATAGATACCATTCACTAGAAGGGTGAAAGAACCATACTTGAAATTCCTGATGTCATTGGCTTAAGAAGAAAATTTTGCACTTTTACATTTTCTGAATAACAGTTTATAATAGACTTGCAGTTTCACATGCAATTATCTTTTTTAAAAAATTATACCATGGTGGGGGCAGCTAGGTAGTGCAATGGATAGAGCACCGGCTCTGAAGTCAGGAGGACCCGAGTTCAAATCTGGCCTCAGACCAAACACTTGACACTTACTAGCTGTGTGACCCTGGGCAAGTCTCTTAACCCCAATTGCCTAACCAAAAAAAAAAATATTAAATTATACCATGTTATAGAAATACTTGTTTTATTTCATAAATTAATAATTAATTCCACAAATTAAAAATAATAAAAAAAACCAATTACCTCTTTATATTTGGACAGTTTGAAAGAACTTACAAAAAAATTGTCTTGTCAAGTCCCTGCTATTCAGAGTCTGGATTAGGTTAGTAACCAGTGTTGGTAAGGTGGGACTAAACTACTTGGCATTTAGATAACAGCTTTGGAAAACTCTCTTCCTCCCCATTGTTAATTATCCCCATAACATTCCCTCCTTCATTGGAACATAGGTACAGTTTTCAAACCATCTCTGATATAATAGCTGTGTTCAAGTAATAAAAGGGCTATCTTAGAGAACATAGATTAGTTTGCTCTCTAAGATGTGCCTAAAAGGCAGAACCAGGAACAGTGGGTGAAAGCTTCAAGGATGCAGATTTAGGCTTGAAATGGATGCTGGGGGGGGAGGGGTGGTGGACGAGCTGGGGCAAAGCGGGGCTGTGACTTCCTAACAATTAGAGCTATCTGAAAATGGAATGGACTTCTCCAGTGGGTGGTGAATTTCCTCTTAGATTTCATGCAATAGCTGGTATGCGATAGAAGGTTGCTTGCATATACAGCCAATCAACAAGCATTTTTAAAGACCTTACTATTTGCCAAGCATTGTGCTAGGTAGGCACTAGAAATAAAAAGACAAAAAGGAAACTTCCTGTAGTCAAGGAGCTTATGTTCTGATCTAAGAGGAGATACAGATACATAAACGCATTTACATGAAATAAATACCTTTAGATGTATAAACTGATAGAAGAGTTCCAGAATCAAATAGCTAGTGCTGGAACCAGACCTTTTGACTCCAACACCAGTGCTTTAATTCCTGTATCTTGTAGTCAGGAATTTAGCATGAGATTAGATAGTTCCCTTCATGGACACACTGGATATTTAGAAAACAGGCTGCTCACATTCTAACAATATACATGATTAGTTATGACTCAGAATCAATTTTTTCCCTCTCTGTATAATCTCCTGGATCTTTAATATACAATGTTAGGAATTGATTTTGCACTAAAATTAACTTCCCCTATCTTCCAGAAATACTGCAAATTGTGTATGCATCTTGAACCAAGTAGTATAATTCATTCTATCTTCTTATTTCCCCAACTAATGGGGATAAGCTTATTAACAAGGTATGTCTTATTAAAAAAATAGTGCACAGTATTAACTTTTTCTATGATAGATTTAATTATTTTGTTTTTTCATTTTCTTCATTTTATTAAATGTTATATTTTCTATCACCTTAATTTTCTATTTATCTTTTGTGACAAAATAAAAGAAAGTAAATAGTCCAGCAAAACAAACCAGTCCTCATCCATATCTAGCATTCTATGCAATGTCCTATACCCATAATCTCCTACTTCTGCAAAGCAAAAACAAAAATTGATGGAGTTATTTAATTCAGTTCAACAAACATTTATGACTTATGATTGGCAGTGGATAGATGTTATAGTAGATAGAGCTCTGGGCTTAAAAATCAGGAAAACCCTCACTCAAATCCTGCTGCGGACATTGATTAGCTGTGTTACATTCAATGAATTACTTTCTGTCTTTCAGTCTTGGTTTCCTCATCTGTGAAATGAAAGAGTTGGATTTGGTGGCCTCTGATATCTCTTCCAACTCTAAATCTATGGTCCTTCTATGTGTGAGACATTCCAATACAATAAGCATTTATTTTCCAAGACAA